TGGATATTATGGCCATATCAAACGAAGACGCAATTTGAGCACGACGCCGTAGGTGGAGTGCTCAATCGTCTGATTGCAATGTGGACAATCCACTCGAGTTGTACAGTATATTTTTCCTACGACCCACTAACGAAAATTTACAAATAAAGAAAATATTTTAGGTTATTAAGACAAAATAACTAATTTTAAAATAATTTATGACTTTTAATATTTTTTAAAATAAAATGAACGAAAAAAAAAAACAAAAGAAAAAAGTTAATTTCATTTTTCCCCATCCGAGAATCGAACTTGAGTCTTCCGTGTGGAAGGCAAGAACGCTGACCACAGGACCATCTATTCTTGTTGCTTTAATACTCGTAATTAAATTGACTTCATATAGTTTTATTTAAATTAACAAATTATTTATAATTATAGACAAAATAAAAACAGAAATGCTATTATTTATCGATTCTACACAAGAATAACCCATTTTAATGCATGTTTAATCTCAATAACCAAAAAATATACTGACAATTAAAATAACAGAATTTTCACTAATTTAAAATTTTAAAAATAATAGCAGTCTGTTGATCAAAATATGAACGGTGATTGGTGGATTTCATTCTTTTACAGTGATTTCATTACCTAAAATGGATACAAAATATATTCGTTCAGATGAAGGCAATAGCTTAATTTTCCGTTTTGTAAAGTTTTACACCCACATGGATATTAGCTTATCTACGCACAGACTACAAAACGAAAAAGTATGCCATATTTCATATCCATTCTACCTGCACTGAAAAAAAAAAAAAATTAAATCCACCAATCACAGTTCAATTTTGGTAATCCTGCTATTATTTTTTAAATTCTAAATAAGTGACAATTCTATCAAACTAATTGTTAGTACAATGTTTAGTTATTAAGATTAAATATTCATTAAAATGAACAATTCTCGTGTAGAATCGATAAATAAAAGCCTTTCTATGTTTATTTCGAGTAAATTTAGAAAATAAACCATAAATTTAAATAAAACTATATCAAATTAATTTAATTACGAGTATTAAAACTAAATTGTTATAAATGGCGATAGCACAGGCACTAGAGCACCTAGCTTTCATGCAAAAGGTCCCGTTTCCAATCTCGGCCGGAGACTAATTAAATTAAATCTTTTTTTTTTCATGTTTACTTTATTTTATAAATTTAGTAAAAGTCATGAATTATTTTAAAATTAGGTATTTTGTTTTAATAACCTAAAATAATTTTTAATTATAGATTTTCTTCAGTGGATTGTCCATATTCGCCCTTGTTGCACAAACTACTATTTTTGTTTCGATAAGCATTTGACAAAAAAGAACTTTTCACCCAAATTCCTGAAATCCATTATCAGCATATTTTTGTGTTTCCGTGGTTTTATCTCTGTATTGCAAATTGTTTGATTGATTAGTGTTGTCATTGTTAGTGTCTTGAAATGGTCATAAATCCTGTTGTCGCGGCACGAATTGTGGCAGCTATAGAAGATGGCCGCGGTCAGCGCGAAACTGCGAGAAACTTTGGTGTATCTCCAGTGTCCTACTGTTATTTCAGCAGTACGAAGAGACTGGTTTGCTCACTCGAAGACCTGGTTCAGGATGAGGAAGGACTACAACAGCTAGAGATGACTTATTTCTCGTTTCTAGTGCTTTGAGAAACCAAATGGTCACGGAAATTTCCTTTCAAAATCATCTGCAAGAAGTGAGAAATGTAAACGTGAGTTGACAATTAGGAAACGACTTTATGCTACTGGATTATCTTCGCGAACTAGGGCTACTGGACCGCCGCTTTCTCGTGAACACCGGATTCTAAGGTTGAATCTTGCATGGACAATAGAGAATTGGTATTTAAAAATGCAGTGGTAGTTAAATTATTAGAAAACTTAAACAAGCCAAAGAATCATAGTAACCTTAGATTTGTTAAAATAAACAACCAAGAAAATTTTCCGACACGTTGCGTTATACGAAAACCATAGAGATCTAGCAACTAGAGCTGCAAGTCCTATACATTTAATAATTAGCTAATTTGATTGATAATGGACCGTGGCTAATATGTTTGTCTGAGTCTAAAACTATATTTTCTATTTTCTGCACAAACAATGTTTAAAATGAAAATAGCAGACAATATGTAAAACCGAATGAAACACTGTCTTTACAGTATCGAAGAGGGATATTTCAAAATCAGTTGTAATTACCTTAAGCACTGTTTTTTGTATAAATTCTTTTACTTTTTCAAATAAAAAAGTGTTGGTTTTCTCGGTTATGTCTGGTAGTAACACATATGCTAAAGGGACAACCGTGTGACTACCAACGATTGCATGAAATGAATACAATTGCTCGAAAATAGTAGGTACCCATTTGAAAGTTCCATCCATGTACCAATATACTGGAAGCGCATATTAGCGGCTGTGGAAAAAATCAGTATCCTTCATTTTTGTTGAGTCAAACAGCAGAAAACTGGCACCATTATCTGGAACTCTATTTTTATCGGACAAAGTTAATTCCGTTAAACTAGGTGCACAAGGATACTGATTGGTTTTCTTTCTTGTATATTGGATTGTTATTTTTTGGCTATTTATAGGTGATAAATTTGTTATAACAGAACAAGCCTTTGTTGCCTCGGAAATAATATGATGTGGGGTGTATTGCGCCATATTTTTATATTGTGCCTTACGCTTTCCGCTTCCTCCTTCCCCTCTTCTTCCAGTGTGGTTATGTTCTCCTTTTACTTCTTAATCCCCGTTTATGCTCTCCTCTTGCATTTTTTGTGAAACTCCTCACATTTCCAGTATATTTTGTCATTACACTGCTTATCTTTGAGGTAAAAATACCCTTCTAAGTACAATTTTCGATTTAAAATTGAACCACTAAAACATCTGGATACATATTAAATATGACAATCAAAAATTACATCAACAGTATTAAATATGACGACAAACAATTACATCAAATATGAAAAAACAGAACGGAATCAGAAAGTTTTAATGATATAAAAATATGTTTATTTTAAAAGAGATTCAGAAAACTGCTCTTTGAAAAAAACAATTTTGAAAATTTAGCATTAAAAAAATGGGATTCAAAAAAGTGTTGGTGGACCCATCAACTTCTGTTTCTAAATGCAATGTAAAAAGTGTAAAATTGCTGGTATTATATTTAGAATGTACTTTAATTCTGATATTGCCACGTGGATTATTTAAAGGGAAAATTAGCAAGTTCACTTTTTTGCTTCACAAATTCCGTTACTTGGAAAGCAGTTTATTTTTTTCTATTGCATTCCCACATATTATTCTCAGGGGTAATTCGTCTGGTGCCACTTGGTCGGTATTGTTTAAGGGGACCTTGTCAGTACCTGTTTATTAGACTTTACATATTACCATTACCATCACTATACCTGCTGCACGTTTTAATCGAGATTCACAAAAACAGCAATTCCTTAACTAAGCAAGCAGATAAATATCAACATTTTACTTGACAAACAAACAAAATCAGAACTAGTCGTTTTCGCTTAACTAAGTCACAGAAAAATTCACTGCATTATAATATTTATAATAAGCTACCACCCGAAATAAAATCCCGTAGTATAAATAAATTCAAAAAAACTTTAAAAAATTACTATTAAGTGATTGTTTCTACTCTTTTTGGAGTGAGGGTAGCCATATGTGAGTAGTAGGGATTAAGTGTAAAGGTTAAAGAAAAAGTCCGTTATTTCTCACAAAGTCAATTTATTGGCGACCGGTTTCGAAGTTGTCACTTCATCATCAGGCACACCTTGACTAATTCCATAAAGGAAGCGCTACAAAAAGTTTAACAGAACGAGTTAAAAAAGTCATGTGTAATAAGTATTTTTTTAAAAAATGTTTTAAATGTAGGTTAGGTTAAACCACCAGATGTCTTTTTGAATAAAATAATTAATTAAAACACATTTAAGACAATTATTAACTAAACAACACAAAATAGTTTTACAAGCACAAACAGTTTATTTCCTTAAAATTTTTTAAACTGTTTGTGCTTGTAAAACTATTTTGTGTTGTTTAGTTAATAATTGTCTTAAATGTGTTTTAATTAATTATTTTATTCAAAAAGACATCTGGTGGTTTAACCTAACCTACATTTAAAACATTTTTTAAAAAAATACTTATTACACATGACTTTTTTAACTCGTTCTGTTAAACTTTTTGTAGCGCTTCCTTTATGGAATTAGTCAAGGTGTGCCTGATGATGAAGTGACAACTTCGAAACCGGTCGCCAATAAATTGACTTTGTGAGAAATAAAGGACTTTTTCTTTAACCTTTACACTTAATGTTTCTACTCTGTTGGTGACTATTAAAAACACTTTCAGCAATAAGGATAAAAAAACTCACAGATCTCATCTAGTAATATTGTACCTATAATTTATTTTATTGCCTGTTTTCTACATATGTGTCGTTTTTGTTTATTCTTATAGTTTATTTTATTTTGTATATTTTTTTTAAATTGTATTTTTTTAATATACTTTCTTTGACTTGCTATAAACATTGTAATTCAAATGTATCTATCTTCATCTCTATCTATCTATAGAAGATGGCCGCCATCAGCGCGAAACTGCGAGAAACTTTGATGGTTTGCTCACTCGAAGACCTGGTTCAGGACGAGGAAGGACTACAATAGCTAAAGATGATCTCTCTCTCGTTTCTAGTGCTTTGAGAAACCGAATGGTCACGGCAATTTCCCTTCAAAATCATCTGCAAGAAGTGAGTGGGCAGTTAGGAGGCGACTTCATGTTGCTAGATTATCTTCCCGAACTAGGGCTACTGGACCGCAACTTTCCCGTGAACACCGATTTGGAAGGTAGAATTTTGCTCGAGAATACTTGGCTTGGACAATAGTAGTGTATTGTTTTCCGATGAATCGCGATTTTCTTATGGGCTCAAACAGACGTCTGAGAGTGTGACGACAACAAGGCAGGAGATATGCTCAAGTGTGTATTGCCAACGACTTCCATTTGGAGGAAGCTCAGTTATAAAATGGGGAGGCATATCTCTTGGAGCTCGCACGGAGTTAGTATTTATCCAGAATAAGACTTTGACTGCGCATAGGTACCTGACAGAGGTTGTATAAGACCATGTTTTACCGTTTATGGTTATTCTTGGAGAAGACGCAATCTTTATGCATGATAATGCACGGCCCCACACTGCTCGGATAGTTACTGCTTATCTTGACGAGGTTCAAATCAGCCATTTGTTTAGCCTGCTCGAAGTCCGGATTTGAATCCGAACGAACATGCTTGGGATGAGATGTGGAGACGTTTGCGGAGCCATGTTTCGGTTCCCAGAAATCCTAGAGAACTTCGTGACATACTGGTGCAGGAAAGTCATCCAAAATCTGATTCAAAACATGCCTCGTTGTTTGCAAGCCGTTATCACTGCCATAGGAGGGAATATTCGCTACTGAATTCCTTAAAATTTCTTTTGTTCGAACTAAAAGCATATCAAATTAAATTTTTCATTTTCATTATTTTCAATAAATTTTGAACAAAACAATATCAACTTTTTATATCCAAGCAATCACGACAAAATCATCGCATAAGGTTAGTAAACCATTTTACGAGCGAAAAAAATCCGAAAAACTAAACTGTCTTAAATAAATGCAAATTTCGAGGTGACCCTCATTTTATGCTCAGCCGTATATATAAAAAATGTTTCAAGTAAGATGTGTGTGGAAAATGTATGTATTTAGTTCATTCTCTAAATATTTACAGGGGTGATACAACAGGTTGTACAAAATAACCGGAAAAAGCCTGTAATAATTTAGACAGGAAAGTCATGTGTTAGACACATCAGATTTTTTTGTATAACATGCACATGCATACCTTTCCCCCTTCCTTGACCAGGAGGAGTTAAAGGAGGTCCGAGCACATTACACTGAGCATTCAAAGTGTCAATACTAGACACTGAAGATGAAGGAGGGATGATCGCACCTCCCCTATTAATGTTATTAATCAAACCAAGACTCTCTTCTGAAGGGACAGAGGTTCTTGCAGCCCTCGAACGACCAGGCCTTGGAGATAGTCCTGTCTTAACTTGATGATGGTGATCAGGAACCCAAGAATCCCAATGAAGATCAGAAGTGTCATTACAATCATTATCACCTCTTTTTAGCTTACCTAATAAAAAATTACACATGAGAAAATGGTAAAAATATTGTTCACAGTAAATTAAAAATAAATGCTTTAATTTTTAAAACACCAAAACCATTTACTCACCAACATATTTTTTCAAATTATGTAATGCTCTACATAGCTTAGTGAATTCTTCAGGCTTGGAACCTTTGTCACTTAGAATATATTTTAATTCATGATCAGATTTTTCTTGCAGCTCTTCTACTGAAGATATCCTCTGACACAAACTAAGAATACTTGGCTTCTCTAGACCAACTACTTGTAGCCACTGGGTAAGAGATGGTATATGCTCATCACAACCATTTTTTAATTTTAGCTTTAGTACCAATTGTTCGGAAAACATTGTTATAAGTTTGCCCTAAAAAAATACATAGATTATTATAAACTATTTTATATTACTTAAGAGTACTTTTTAAATAGTATGCCAGACCAATTAAAAAACTAGGGGTATAAGAGATGGTGTGTATACATTTAAAAAGAAAACAAAATGCATGTTCAAGTTATTTATATTGTGACAGCTGTACTTTTTTACTATTGAAATTAAGTCGTGTTTTGCAAAAACCCCATGTCAGTTTTTCCGGAATTTTATATTATGGCACTTGTGAGTATATAAGTATATATGGCACTTGTGAGTATATAATATAAGTATATATGCCCCTTGCGTTAAAAAAAATCCGAAAAATCGCCGTAAGTCCAAAATATGAACAGTTAAAATATCGAACAGTCTTAATAAACCCCATATATCAACAGCAGTTTTCATCAAAAACCACAGAAGTTGAATTTAATGATAACTCAAGTTTATGCAAAGAACGCCTCAATTGAATCTACTCAATTGTAAAATACCTAATAAATTTAATAATAATATTAATAATAATAATAATAATAATAATACTCTCCCTAATTCACCCCCTTACGAGTGATTTTCAACACCTGAAGCCGACTGAGCGACTTGTGTAGGGGAAGGGACGGCTATTATTATTATTTGCCGTGGCGCTCCGGTGCGACTTAAAGATGAGTGATGGCGCCATTTGACTTACAGATGAGGAAAACCTGGAAAACCCCACCCACCACCATAGTGAAGGAAACGGATAGTGACATGATGGGAGAATAATGCATCTTCTTCAGCAATGTAGATTGATGTTTAAATTAACTTAAAAAATCGGTTAAAGTATTTATTTATTTATTTATTTATTTATTTATTTACGGGTCAGAGCCCATTAAAACAATACAATTACAGATAATACATATTACATACATTAAATAGTAATAAAATCCTAAATAATAATAATAAATTAATTTAAATACATAAATATTAAAAACAATTAAAAATTACTCCTCACATATACATAAATGGATAGAAAAATCTGATGGAGAAGTAATCCATTCTACATTTAGTCTGTTAGCAGATCTTGTTGCTGCTCTAGGAATAAAAGAGTGAGAACCATAATTTGTTCTATAAAAAGGTTGAGAGAATGTATTAATATTCCTAGTTACTCTAGATGGCACAGAAAATCCAATTTGGGATAACAAGTATGGACAATCGGCAGATGAGTTAATAATGTTAAACAATATTTTAAGATCCCTTTGGTTTCTTCTGCTCAGAAGGGTCTCAAGATGACAAAGTGTGTGTAATTCGTCATAATTGTATCTGAAGTTGACCGGGACAATACCCGATTTAAATGCAACAATGCGTAAAAATTTTCTTTGAACCTGTTCTATATTATGGATTAGATATACATAAAAAGGATTCCATACGGAAGAAGCATATTCAATATAAGGTCTAACTAAGGCACAATAAAGAATCTTTAAACACATCACATTATGAAAATCAGAAGTAGTTCTTCTAAGGAAACCCAACATTCTTAATGCTTTATTAACTGAGGCTGTTATATGAGTTTGAAAAGAAAGGGTGGAGTCTAATATCACACCCAAATCTTTTACCTCTGTAATAGTATCGAGTGTTATGTCATTGATTTTATAGATATCTTCAATAGGACTATGTTTTCTGTTGAAATTGATTGCATGACATTTACTTGTATTTAATTCCATTCCATTAGTACTACACCATTGGACCAAGTTATCCAAGTCTTTTTGAAGGCAAATACAATCACGTAAGGAATTTACACGCATGAATAATTTTAAATCATCAGCAAAGCAAAGGAACTGAGAATTCTTAAAACAATTTTGGATGTCATTGTTATATATATATTAAAAAGTAGAGGTCCCAAATGTGAACCTTGAGGGACACCAGATGTAGTGGTAAAGCCAGAGGATAAGAAACCAGAAACACGAACAATTTGAATGCGGTTTGTTATAAAGCATTCGATCCATTTCAGAAGATTACCACCAATGCCAATGTTACTAAGCTTTCCAATCAAGCAATTGTGGTTAACTCTGTCGAATGCCTTTGAAAAATCAGTGTATATAGCATGAACTTGATCATTAGAATCCAAGGCATTCTATAAGTAATCAACATAAGACAACAAGTTAAGTTCAGTGGACTTTTTGGAGCGGAAACCAAACTGCTGATCTATGATGAAAGGATCAAGCAGTTTCGATAAATACTTTGTAATAATACTATCAAAGAGTTTAGGAATCACACTTTGAATGCATATTGGCCTGTAATTAGTTACATTTGATTTGTCGCTTGATTTGTAAATCGGTACAGTAAAACTTGATTTCCAGTAATTAGGAAACATTCCATTATGAAGTGAAACATTAAAGATAATATGCAGTGGACGGGATATAACATAACAACAAGTTTTCAATAAGGAAGGTGGCAAGCCATCAGGACCTGATCCCTTACTCATATCTAAACAGCTCAGATGTTCAAATATTTCTGAAATAGATATTTGATAATTTGCAACATTTAAATGGGTTGAATATGGTTTATCATAATTATGGCATGGTTGATTGCTATAGACTGAGCTAAAGTAATCCTGAAACATATTAGCTAAATCTGTACCCATAGAGCATCTAGTGTTGTTATAGTACATTTCGTTGGGTAACTCATTACTTTTTCTTTTTGAATTGACAAAATTCCAAAATGTTTTAATATCATTACCAACAGATGATTCAGTAAGTTTAATGTAATCATTGTAATTCTGTTTAGACTTAAGTTTACATTGAGAGCGCAAGTTAGAGAATACCATGTAGTCGTTAGAAGATCCACTAAATTTAAATCTAAGGTGTGCCTCCTTCTTTAGAATTATGAGATTTTTCAATTCAGGTGAAAACCATCTGGGAAATCGTCGAATGGATAATTTTTTCAATGGTACAAAGGAATGAATGACAGAATACACAAAATCGTAAAAAATATTTACCATTTCATCAAGTGATTTATTTAAGAATAGTGAATCCTACTGAATTAATCCCAGATGATGTTCAATGGATCGAAAATCTGCGAATTTGTAATCATAGTAATACTCATTAGGTACATGTGACGAGTTACAATAATTTACAGCAAGGTTCAAATGTATAAGTAATGGGGGATGATATTTATCGACATTAATTAGAGCATCACTAGCGAGAGAGGTGGTTGTTGAAGATTGATAAGAAAAAACTAAATCTAAAGTAGTATTGTAATCATTCCGAACTGCATTGTTCTGAAAGAAGTTGTGAAAAGCACACATATTGGAGATAGTATTAATCGCAGCAGTTTCATCAGCTCTAGTTCCAGGTCCCAAGGAAGAGGTAGCAGTTGAGCATAGATTATTTGACATCCATATGGCCTTAGGTAAATTGAAGTCGCCCAAAATGCAAAATTGTGCATGAGGATACATCTCTGACAAATTATCCAAGTTTTCAGTGAACGAAACATATTTATCATTTGGTGACATTGGAGGAAAGTAAGCAGCTCCTAAAATAAGAGTACTTTTACCATTGCCTATGAGGACAAATAACTGTTCAATTTCTTGTGTAGAGGTGAGCAAACTACTTCGTATAGATTTGGAAACTGCTATAAGAACTCCACCTCCTCTGGAGGATGAGCTGGTTTGTGCAGATCTGTCCTTGCGGTAAATGTTGAAATTTTCAAATCCAAGTTCGGCATCACTAAAGTTTTCTGTCAGCCAAGTTTCGGTGAAAACAATGATTTCGTGGGATACAGTTGCTACATCAGAAATAAGTTTACTTAGCTTTGTTCTTAATCCTCTAACGTTTTGGTAGTAAATGGAGCTAGGAGAGAACTTAATAGAAGGTGGCCTCTGATTGGTTAGTTTTTTGGATTCAAACTAATTATTTTTGGACATCCATTTATAAATTTCACCCAGAACTTCCCTCGATATAGAAATTGTAAAAGCAGGGAACTCCTAAGCACTTAAATTTTAATAATTTAAAATTAAAACCACCAAACCAAAAACCCGTTTTAAACATTTCTTTCTCCATCGATCTTCCTCTAGATCCCACCCGAATTCTTACTTCGCGTCCACTCGATATTCTTCGTCATGGTCACCGTTATTGAACAATAATGATTGGCTGCTTTTAAAATGGTCCAGTTACACAAACCAAAACGACATTTTTTTATTTCCATTCAAGTGGGACTTTTTTGATTAAATACGATTCCTTTCAGCGACATTTTGAATTTCTAAAAACTTATTTAGGATCTTTAATCTTTGACTTCTAAAATTCTTAGATACCAATTTTAGTCAAAATCTGACTTTTAAAAATAATGTTTATTTTAAAAAGTGCTCACCCTGTATATAACTGTTCGGAAATATAACTGGGTTTGAGCCAGAAAGGAACCTTATCTACATACAAAATTTGAAATTTTTTTATAAAGCCGTTATTGAACTATAGTGCCGACATACAAACAGACCGACGGAATCGGGAAACATGTTTTTCGTAATCTAGGGACCTTGAAACGTGAAAATACCAAATAATCTCGGAAGGTGACTTTTTCACAATTACAATACATCCCTTTTACAGAGGGAAGTAAAAAGAAACTAAGCGATATAAATAAATATTAATGTATACTCCTGTAATGTATTATTTGTTATAAGATTATGTAGTGCATTGAATTACTAATAAAATTAGCTTTCAAATCACGTATCATACTTTACAATAGAAAACAGTTTTGTATGCTTTTAGAGGGCACTAATATCAAAAGTAAGGCAATTAACAGTCACATTTTTTAATTACTCATTAAATTACCTTTTTAATGAATCCCATACGACATCAATTTAAAACAATTAAAGGGAATGGCACAATATCTTCTGCTTCGAATATTTGAATTGACATATTTTGTGTTTTTTTTTATAAAAATTAGTCTTTCAAAAGTTATTTGGACTGGCTAGTTGTACAAGACAAACTATCTATGATCCATACAATTGTGCAGGGTATTAGTACTTTTGTGGTTCATTCAGCCTCATACTGTCGGCGTGCAGGGTATTAGTACTTTTGTGGTTCATTCAGCCTCATACTGTCGGCTGTTGGCCTTGATACAATTTAGCATACATAATGTAGTAAAGAAAAAATCTCGAATTTTCATGAGTTAAACTGACGAACTACGCTTCTCAGAAAGTGAAACATCACATACTACTTGGGGAGCAAGACTCATAACCCCAAAAGGCAGAACTCTACTAAAAATCATTCAAGAAAACAACCAAAAATACTTATCAACAGGTACCCCCACATACTGGCCTACCGATAACAATAAAATTCCTGACTTACTAGACTTCGCCATAACTAAAGGTATATCTGAAATACACAGCAACATCACCCCCAGTTTCGATTTACACTCGGATCACAGTCCTATCATAATAACCTTAAGTACTTGTATAATTTGGAAAACACCTGCACCAAGGCTCTGCTCCAGAAACACAAATTGGTATCAGTTTCATGATAAAATCAATGAAAAAATTTCTCTAGACATACGACTCAAAAATGACATTGAAGAAGCTGTAAAATACCTAACAGAACAAATTCAAAGCGCCGCTTGGGAAGCTACTCCTGCAAATCAAAAATTAATTGAAGAAAGATGGAGCATACCTTATCACATTAGAACACTAGTGGAAGATAGAAGAGCCCGTCGTAAATCGCAAACAACAAGAAATCCATTAGATAAAACAAATCTAAACATACTCACACGCAGACTTCGCTGTGCTATCCAAACTGCCAAAAACGAATCGTTTGAAACTGTTACCAACCTTGACGACCACTCCCTTTGGAAAGCCACAAAAAAATTCAAGAAACCAACAGTAGCCAAATCTCCAATTAAAAAAATCGACGGAACTTGGGCTCGGTCTGATCCAGAAAAATCCAATAGATTCGCAGAACATTTATCAACTGTTTTCTCCGCCCCACAACCTAACGATCTCAATGACGATGAAATTAGAGCCTTCCTTAATGTCCCGTCAGTTGTCACTACCACTAAAATACGTCTCACCGAGTGAAGTCCGCAATGAAATCAGACTTCTCAACGCTCCCGGATTTGACCTTATAACTGGCGAAATCTTAAAAAATCTCCCAAGAAAAGGTATCGTCCAAAATAACTATCATTTTAAATAGCCTCCTTAGGCTATGCTATTTTCCAGTGCAATGGTGCAATTATAATGAAACCTAAACTGTTGTATACAGTGACACAGGTTAGTGAACAGAATAAAAGAGAGCTTAGAAGAAAAACGAATCTGTATATCAGCATTCCTTGATATACAGCAAGCATTCGATAAAGTGTGGCATGAGGGTCTCCTCGTTAAAATCAAAACCCATCTACCCGACCAATCATACCTCTTCATGAAATCATATTTGTCTGACAGATACTTCCAAGTTAAATATGAAGAAAATTTATCCAACTAACATCAACTAAAATGCGGGGTACCTCAAGGCAGTGTACTAGGCCTGTTCTTGTACTTAATTTTCACTGCTGACATACCCATCAGTAATCATACATTAATGGAAACATTTGCGGATGACACTGTTATACTAGCATCAGACACAGATGAAATAAGAGCATTCAACTGCAAAACCACCTCAACGAACTAGGAAATTGGCTTAGTCACTGGAAAATTAAAGTCAACACCAACAAATCCTGTCAAGTTAATTTCACAAATCGAAGAATTAGATGTCCACAACTATACTTAAATAATACGCCTATACCAATAAATACAAAAGTAAAATACCTTGGACTTCATTTAGACGAAAAACTTACTTGTAAATCACATATTAAAGCTAAACGACGGCACCTCGACCTAAAAGTTAAAAATATGAGCTGGTTAATCAACATAAGATTGAAACTTTTATTCTAAAACAGAATGGTCATCTATAAAGCAATACTCAAACCAGTCTGGACATACGGAATCGAGCTGTGGGGCTGCAGCAAACCATCTAACACTAAAATACTACAGACGTTCCAGTCCAATGTTCGAATGTTAGCTAACGCCCCATGGTACGTTTCCAACCAAATCCTTCATGCAGACCTCAACATCCCATAGATGATGTGATTACCCACCACTCCAGAAAATATATGAATCGCAGTGAAAACCATCCAAACCACCTCATAGTCGAACTCTTTAAACCTCCAATCATCGATAGACGCTTAAAAAGACTTTGACCAGAAGACCTAGCTGCTTGGTGAATTCCAGAGAGTCATCAGTGGACAACACCTGCCTCAAGCCACCCACTTCCATCAAATTTACTTATTACTTTATTGAAGTAGATTGTAAATTAGCATTAAATAAAATAATAAAAAAAAATGTCTCAAATACTTCTTATGTTGCCTTTTCTTTAAATGATGTCAACCGACCTGATTATATGAAACTTAAAATCGATAACACAAATCTTGAAATCACTAAAGAAAAAAATCTAAATACTTGGGCATTATTATTGATAAAAATGTTAAATGGAATGATCATGTAAAAAGTCAAAAAAACAGATTACAACGATTTATAAGAAAGTTCTACAACTTAAAAAATACATGAATCGCAGGTTGCTACTAATGATTTACTGATCATTAGGTAATCAGGTAATCAGGTAAGGTATTTTGGTGTGGGGGGATTTATATAGTAATGCAATTCAACCACTAATTGTAATTCAAAATTACATATTAAAGATAATATACATACAAAATATCAGGTACTCCACTTCACTTGTCACTATATGTATAACAGTGACATTTTAAATGTTAGATTGTTATATTTTCACACATTATTATAAAAACCCCAGCTTAAAACTAACTGCATTTCATGAACATAATACATGTAAAGGAAATTATTAAAGGGCCCCTTTTGTTATTAGGAATGCTAACCAAAGATTTGTAACAAGCAGGGCACCAAAAATCTATAACTCTCTTCCCTTGCAAGTCAAAAGTATCAAAACCATCAAACATTTTTGGAGAGAATGTAAAAAGTTTCTTGGAAGTAATTACGATTTGTACATGACAATATTATAACTGTTGTCTTCTGACATGTGTCAAAATCACCTCCATTGCTTTCAGTACCTAATATAATTATGTGTTGCATAATTT